TATTGTTATTATTATTGTTATTATTATTATTATTATTATTATTATTATTATTATTATTATTATTATTATTATTATTAAGTAATTTAAATCATCGGAAATAAATAATGTACCAATGAGAAATTAGGAACCAAAGAACAAAAAAAAATTTGATGATGTTGAAAGCATGATATATTCTTTCTTACCTTCTTGACAATAATTTTACAAAATCGGTCAAAAATTCACTGGAATAAGTGCTTTGATACTTATCTGGGTTTTCACGCAAAAGACTCATTTGACGAAGATGAGACTCGGAACGAATGTGGCACTGATATCCATTCTCGTCACGACATTGTTTTTCGCAGAGCTGGCAGTACCATTTAAGCTTCTGTAGACCTTTAGCCTAAGAAAAGAAAGGATGATCAAAAGACAGGAACAAAGTAGTAAGTAATTTGAAACAGCATCACCAAAAAGTATATTGTTCATAAATAAATTGAAGAAATTCATTTACCTTTATTCTGTTGGCAATTGCTTTTGGGGTTAAGAACTCGTGTTTCGGCATTGTGGAAAAGAAACTCGATGTAAAATAATTGAAGAGTATATTCGTAAGAGTTCTTGACCAATTGGTCACAAACTCGCAGATTTTGAACCAAGTCCATATGTCACGTGAGAATTGTAATATACAGTTTATTTAACAAGTCAGTTTATCGAGAGTCCAATCTCTTTACAAGGTTAAGCTCTATAAATAACGTAGTTGCAGTGTCAATACCATTATATGCTTTGGGTAAGTCTTGCGATGACGAGGCCATGTTAGTGGTTGTGAGCTCAGTTTATTTAGTATTGTTTTTATTCGGAGCTAGGCTCTTTGGATTTTGGCTATTGAGTCAAGCATTGATTTTTTAGCAATTACTGAACAAAATACATTCTCACATCATTTGAATTATGTTATTTCTTAGTTATTTTCCTTGATTGAATTGTATTGAATATGGCCCCTTATCAATTGAGACTAAGAAACCCTGGAAAAGAAAACAAAAAAGTACAGGTTTTATTCAGAATAAATAAATGAATTAGAATTAAAGGCAGTTGGACAAGGAAAACTAATGCGCATGTATTATATATTGAATCGTTTTATCAATTATTTTCTCCATTTAAAAAATTTCGAGGTTCTAAAAAATAAGAAAACTGTTGATGGTATTTTCTAATTTATTAATCAGATATGTATGCCTGTAATTTGATATTTCAATTAAATTTTTCACTATTTATATTTTGAAATGCCTCCGAAATCATATGATAATAATTAAAATAATTTGTCCTCGGCCTTTTCGCATAAAAAGACTGTCGTCGCGCAAGTGGTTGAGGATTACTACGTCGTATTGCATCCATTACTAAATTCACTTCGTTATCCGGATCAACATCGTCTTCCTCTGCTTTATCAATGCCCTCGATTTTCGCTCCGTCCTTTTTTCCAATTTCGTTTTTCATACCAGGTTGATTATTATCTGCATGGTATAGATTATAGATTATTATTATTGTTATTATTATTATTTAGATATAAAAACAGTTTTTAATAATGCAAAAAATATATATTAATACTTTGTGGACGACCAATCGATTTTTTTTGATATTGTTGTAGTAATATGTCGTATGGCTGTGATCGACCGGGAACCCCACGTTTTGCAGCCATCGGATGGCTTTTACAAGTTAATGAGCGCGTGCATGGAGGTGCACCCAGAGTTATTACTACGCCACACTGCTTGTCCAAATCAATTGGACCTGTTTATTCAATAATAAGAACAGAGGATTTGAATTAGAAAGAAAAAGTTTGCTAAACGATCGAGCTGATTTATCTATCAAACAGGTCAATTAATTAATACCTTTGTTGCGCCCATTTGTTTTCGGTTTTTTTTCTTTCTCTTTTTTTGTTTTTTGCTTTTTTTCCGGTGGTTGTTTCGTCCCCTCCTCTCTTACCGGAGATGACGCGCGTCGTTTACTTGATGAATTACCAGAATCTGACGGCTCCACACCTAACGTATATTGATTAAATTAAAACGATGGATAATCAAGAAAAAAAAAATCAATATTGGCATAAATTATTGGAGATTACGATTGTACCATTTGTGGTTATTGAATTTTCGCGCCTTGGCGATTTGATGTTTTTCGAGTTTTTCGAGTCACCTATGCCCGTTATCGATGAATCTTTATCGAGATTGTCGTTTGTTTCGTTGTTATCTGTTGATTCGATATTGGTGGGTGTTTTTCGTCTTAAATTAGTTCCTGGAAAATAAATTGTGCGAGAAACGTAACACTTAGATTTTGATAAGGCAGGTAACTTACAAACACGGGAAATTAAACTGGAATCACTCTAACATTTAAATGCCTCTATTTAATGAATCTACACCTTCATTACCTGTTCCATTCGAGGTTATTCCTGGTTCTTGCTTAATGTTCGGCATGATTTTGTTAAAAATATAAAACACGATGTTTGGTGTTTCGCGAATTTACAATGTCGTTAATTTATGAATTGATTGATACAAAGGAGTAATATTGTTCCTGGTCCACATTCAAAACTTGTAATAAATAATCACCTATCACGTGAACAATATAAATGATTTCGCGTAACTATTCGAGATAATTCGCGTTTTATCTATTTCGTATTATTACTTTCTTTCATCTTATCATGGAATTTGATCGAAATTTTATTAATATATTTATTGTTCATTGCAATTGATCAAAATCTTTATTTAAATTACATGTTCATTTCAGTCTTTGATCGCGCAAGTAGAAACCGACCAATTCGACATATTATTAATATATCGAATTGGTCGGTTCTACTTGCGCGGTCCCAATTGTCCAATCTTGACGTGGTGATTTTTTGGGGGATAGGATTCATTTATTATGTATTGCTACTAGTGAGATAAGTCCTTTTTTTATACAACAATGAGCAAGTTGTTATAATCTTGGGATAAATCCCAATATCAATATCCACAATGAACCCCAAACAAAATAATTACACAAAACAGACGAATTCGTGATAGAAAGCGCGCCAGAACTCCATTTAACTGTCTCGTTAGTATCAGCAGGAGTATATCCACCACCGTCTTCCTCAATATCATCATCATCCGTTCTGTTAGTTCCCACTTTTGGTGGCATTGATCCGGCATCATTCAACGCTAATGGGTTCCAAAATAACCACCACTCGTCACCAGGAATATCAATTTGTAATAGTTTTGACAAGAATTTGTTGTATTTTCCTGTTGAATCGCCATAATGTTGTTTTGCGCTGTATAATGGAACCATAAAATATATTGGATCGTCCTTTGGAAAGCCCTGATCCACTAGATAGTCGACTGCTGTTTTTATGGTGGCGCCTTGTTTCGTTTTTTGTTCCCAAAAATTTGGTGCACCGTTTATCTTTTCTGAAAGTCGCGCAATATATGTTAGTGCTATCAAGTTGAAAGCTTGGTAATGAAATGATCGCTATCGAATTCAAAGAAAATTATTTAGCATTGGTTTTAGTACTCGAATACTAAAGACAAGGAAAATTGACAATTACAGTTCTTCCACTTTCCAGAGGTTGTTCACCGCTTTTAATGATTTGATATTGAAACTGACGGTCCCGAAATTCTTGAATCAGTATAATAGCTTTTTTCTCTTGACCGGTCCAAGCAAAATAAGTCGCCAATTGAACAACATAGAAAGTCGCGTGATTATTAGCAGCATTTCTAGCACCAGTTCCAAGCTTACTAGTCAATAACCAATTTCCATATTGAAAGAACCATGTTTTCATTTCCTTGGTAAATTGTGAATTACTACCGCCAACAGCAGTCGAATTAGTCAATAGTTCAACAGCAGCCGGAATATAAACATAATATCTCATATCCAAAATTCCCTCAACTCTTCCGACCCATTCACCTGGTCCACGAACGACTTGACCAAATTCGATATTTGGGCGCATCGCCGTGTCGGGATCCAGGAACCAAACATTTAATAATTGAACTGCTTTTGTCGCGTATTTTTCATCTTCATAAAGATAATAGTAGATTGATAACGCTAATACGTCATTTACCATTGAACCGGAATCGCGTGGATCGGTGAGTAATCTTAAATCTGTCGCGTATTTCCCATCTATTCTTTGATATGGACAATCAGTCATTGGATCCTTTATGTGTGGTACTCCACTACAGTTTGCGTGAAAGTAAGGAGCCCATGAATAATATCCATGTTCATTACCGTTTGGAGGTGATCTGCTACTATTAGTAACTGAATATGGTTGTTGATTGTTGAGTGCTATGCTTGCTTTTTTCTTTAGATCATCAAGAGCTGCTTGTGCACATCCTGGATTTGTTAAATTATTTGCTTTAAAATGTCTAAGACCACTAATACTTAATAGATCGAATGGTAATCCATCTGATATTCAAATAAGAATCATGAGTAAATTAATTGATGAATCGGTTAATAATAATGGAATGCCAAACTTACCTCCTAATAAACAAGATGACATCCATGACAATATATGAATTATAAATATTCGCATCAATCGCGACATTTTCATTTTACGATATTAATATCGATTTTCCCCCAAAATTAGTATTTACAATTATGGAAAAAACGAAGGGAAATATATATAGTTTTTTATCTTGTTAACTGAATTAATGCAAAAGTAAATGTTCCTTTTGGTTGGTAAAGTTTGAAAGATGTTTTGAAGGAATTTGTGTATGAAGGAATTGAGTGTGTATGAATGAGTATAATGCTAAAAGAGATATGACCAATCAATGGACAAAAAAATTAACTATTACAAAAAAGAAATCTATGTCTAGACTTTAAATATGTTTCCCGCACCCTTAATTAACTAGAAATTAATGGGTGTATGAATGAGTATAATGCTAAAAGAAATATAATACAAAATAAAAACACATATGACCAATCAATGGACAAAAAATTAACTATTACAAAAAAGAAATCGTATGTCTAGACTTTAAATATGTTTCCCGCACCCTTAACTAACTAGAAGTTAATGGGTTGAGAAGGATTATTAAATGAATGAGAAAAGGAAAAGGAAAAGGAAATAAAAAGATCAAGATACGAAACATTTAGAAATTTGTATCGTTATTTCTATTGTCGATCTTTAATTATACGACAAAAAAGCAAAATAAGGCCGTAACAATACATGAACTTTTTTTTCTTGACCACATGTGCAGCCGTTTCCGTCAAATTCTGCCTCGTGAAGATCTATTTGTAAAAGAGTTTCATCTAATTATAAACGATAACAATTTGTATATCGTCGTCATCATTGTTCTGTAACAATGCAATGAATTGTTTTTAGCTATAATAAGCATTTTCTAACGCCAATACTAATCGTAATATTATTTTACTATAGAGCCCCATAGGTAAGATATTTACCATTTTCTGTATTTTTTTCACAGTAATTGTAACAGATTAAAACGAAACCAGATTAAAATGAAATCAGGTTATAATAAAAGTAAAATTTGGCTCTTTTTTTATGGGATAAAAATTTCAGAGAAGGGTTAGAGTTAGGGTTAGGTTAGAGCATAGAGTATATCATTGAAATCTGTAATATATATTGACCTATGATTATTTAAACTTCCCACTCTGTTTCGTTTTAATCTGATTTCATTTTAATCCGTCACAGTAATTACATTCACAATACAATATCTACGAAAAATCCCTTCCAGTGAACTATTTTTATTTTCCATAATTTTTTACCCAGTTCTTTTAATACGCATAGTTAATATGGCCAAAGGTTAAATGGCCAAAGGAATAACACTTAACTTTGTAACGTTAAGAAAATGGATCAGAATCCAATCTACTGATTATGTAAATGGTGAAAATGACAATGGAAATTTGATTGCAGTAACAAAATGCTGCTTTTATGTTACATGGCTGAAGTTAATTAGAACACGTGATTATATAAGGTCATATATTGTTCAATGTGCATTTTAGACAGGTCTGTCTGTTTGTCGACACCACTAAACACAAGGCAGTTGATGAATGCACGCTTAAATCGGATTTTGAGTTTCGACACTACGAAATCACCAAGAGCCCTTAATCGTATCTTGGAGTCACCCTTTTTTGTCTTCCCAACTATACGCCATGCAAGGCTAATTTTTTATATATTCTTCTGGAAACCTTAAATACAAGTTACTACTGCTTTTTTTCCTAAAAAAAAAAGATATATTTATCCATTTGCACCAATAATTTTGAGTTCATTAAACAAATATATTTCAAGAAAATGAAGAGAAGATTACTTTCTCGACGTGGCACTATTAATTAATATTAAAATATACACATGCACATGTATTTATAGTTGGTGACTTAGTCCAGGAGGAGACATATTTTCTATTACCTCAATCATTGTTCACAAAACAGTCGAATGATCTTCTATTTATTTATATCTGTTATTAAATGTACACTTTTCTCAAAAAAAATTTGGCCACGAACATACAGTTCATTTTCATCCTTCAATTTATCCACATAGTCTGTTCGATATTTTGGACATCCAATCGCATGATAAAAGAAATGACCAAACCACGAATTTCGACCAGGTACAATTATTTGGCTCTTTTACCTCAACATCTTCATGGATAATATATTGTTACTTCAATATGAATCCTAATACGATGGAATAAAATCAAAATACAAAAGCTCCAGTAATGATAACCTGCCTCCAAAATCGTTCTTGATTTTGTAGATAAATTCGCTATATATATAATCAACGGATTTGTTCGTCTTTTCCAATTTGGCATGAATATTCCATCTCTGTTAGAAACAGGATTCTTAGGGAAACGTGATAGATAAAATACGTTGGGATCAATGGTAATAATTTATTAACATACACCTCTCGCTATTTTATAATTTTTGTATTTGTAAGATTCACTTTTTTCTTCACCGCAAAGAAAAATTAATAAAGATGCAATCAAGTATGAATTGATGATTAATGATTAATGATTAATGATTGTATTTCCTAAATTACGGAATTAGGTTTATCATAAATCACATGCATTTATTGGTCAGATATTTCTTATTTTTTATATCGTGCGTGTTTTTTTGTTATTTTCCATATTCCTCTTTGACAGTAGCAAGTTATTTTTTAATTGTCTGTTTGAGTGCTGGGTGAAATACTACAATGCGCTTTTCATTATCTTAATATAGTATATTGAGAAAAGAACAGAAAAAACTTGCAGTCTTCCTTGTATTTTATCTAACAAATAATAGCCACTATAAGTGGTTCATAAAACTTGTGAGAGGTGTGGGCATTCATTAAACGATCGACAGATCAAGAGAAAATATTAAAGAAAATAATGGGAAACGTCAATGGAAGAATAGACGTGGATTTCGAGGAACAAGGTATAAAATAGTGTTATTATCATATTTCGCCAGCCAGCTATTGGAAAGTTTTTGTTGCGAGTGATTTAATAAAAGTTCAAAAACGTGTAAAACTATGTTTTTCATTTGTTTTCCCTTTACCCTTTTCTCTTGCATCATAACTCTTGCTATAATAAAAACCATAGTCAACCTCTCACATTTTAAGCTTTTGCGCGTGGTTGGTAGAGGTGCCTTTGGTAAGGTATGTTAGAAGCTAAAAATGGAAAATGTTCAAACTCTGAAGTAAAGTCAAAATTCGTGTCATTCAACTCTACGAAATTCTCATTTTATCACTATCCTTAATTTCATTCTTATCATTATCATCTGTATTGTCCGCCTCATAATATTTATTTAGGTGCGGATCGTAGAACGACTCGATACAAAACGTCTATTCGCGCTGAAATACATTTCAAAGAATGAATGTATAAAAATGGATGCGCTTCGTAATATTTTTCGTGAGCGTGCTATATTAGAGGAATTGGATCATCCATTGGTATGTAATCTGCGATTTGCTTTCCAAGACGATGAATACATGTATATGGTGATGGATTTGATGTAAGTATATTTTCTTACTTATATATCATGAAATAGAACAAGAAAATTAAGCATTTTCTGGTCATAATAGGATAGGAGGGGATCTGAGATTCCACTTGAACAGAAAAACCTTTACCGAAGATGCAATTCGATTTTGGATAGCTGAGCTTGCTTGTGCTATAAGATATCTTCATTCGAAAGGTGTTGTCCACAGGTAGAATCTATTACTTTTTTTTTAATGATGCAAGTTTAAAAGCACATTATTGTAATAATAACTATCCTTTATCTATTTAAGAGACATGAAGCCAGACAATGTTCTTTTGGATGATCGAGGTCACGCACATATAACAGATTTCAATATAGCTACACATATCCGTCCTGATAAGCCATTAACATCACATTCTGGCACATGTGCTTATATGGGTATGTGTATGCTTGCTTGCACTTGCATACATATAATTTTTGAATCCTTTGTTTTACTTATCGGTAATTTTGATTTAATAATTTTACTAATTTAATAGCTCCTGAAGTATTTCGGGGTGGCGGTTATGGCGTTACTGTAGACTGGTGGTCACTAGGAATTACGTTCTATGAATGTGTTTATGGCAGGGTACTTGAGATGATTCTTTATAATTATTATTCGATTTTTTATATCTTTTCATATGATTGATCATAGATTAATTATTATTAGCGGCCCTTCGAATGTGATAATCAGGAAGATTTAAAGAAAATGATTGTCAAAGCCCCCATAAAATATCCAGATATGGACCCACCAGTTAGTCCAGCTTGTGTTTCTGCAATCCAAGGCGTATGTATATCATCTCTTCTAAAAGTTAAAACCATATTCTGCGCAACTCGTTTGACACGTTGTTTTCATAATAGTTCCTTGAACGTGATATAAATCGACGTCTAGGATGTGGTCCAAATGGGTTTATCCACATTCAAAACCATCTCTTTTTCCGAAACATTGATTGGCCAACCCTAGAATCGAAAGAGGTACAACCAATTTTTCGTCCATCATCCGATCGAATCAATTTCGACGCCACTTATGATCTCGAAGAACTACTCCTCGAAGAACAACCACTCGAAGCAAAATCTCGCCGACGAAAAATAAGAAAAGTAGGATCGGAAAAGGAGGAACAATTTCTACTAATCGAAGAGAAATTCAAACCCTTTGATTATACGGTTTTTGAACGATACGAAGGTTGGGTGGATCCGGTTACTCGATGCGTCGGTGATCCACCGGAATGGGTAAAACCAGCTGCAGTTGAAGTTGAAAATATTAGAGAGAGAGAAAGTCAAGAATTACAACATAATAGTAGAAATAACTCTCGGCCTGTTAGTATTGTGGGCGCTTTGGGTGGGATGCCACTAGATAATGGAGTACAAGTATAAGGAATTTTCTTTCTTGGTTATTATATTATTTATTTTATAATTTCGGTATTTATTTCTAATTTTATCTTAATTTATCAACTTGATTTGAATTCAGAGATATAGAAAGTTTTATCTTTTAAACAAAATCTAATCGATTAATTATAAGATTCGAACCTCCATGTAATCACACCCCATATAATCACAAAATCAATATATGGTCACATTTTTTTCAGTTCTCGACTTATTATGAAACATAAGAAATTTGACCTCCATATAGTCAACCTCTTTATAATCACAGTGTTCCATATCCCGAGGGTGTGATTATATAGGGGGTCAGACTGTATTTGTGAAGGAAATATCTTCAATAAACATACGCAGCTTGTTTTGCGACTCATTTTTAATGTGCAACTTTTTCAGGTCAAGCGTAGCTATCAAACAATTTAATTATAATGCTGACCAAAATTAGGCATAAGAATTTTTTGATCTTCAGCCAAAAATTAATGATAGATTTGTTGATCTTCCATAATATAAAATTTTTCGGCCTTCGACCAATCAAATACTAGATTTCTGATCAAAAAACTCGTAAATATTATAATTCACGTTAAAATTCTTTTTTTTCGTTCGCTTTTATGCTGATAAAAACATAGAAGTAGTTACCATTTTTTATAAGAAAATTTTTCCATATCTTTACAAAACAGACGAAGTTGAGTTGAACCTTGCAGCTTAATCCAGCAAATCCACCCTTTTACCTTATGATAAAGCATGAACTTGAGTTTTACAGCTCATCCAGCAAATCGCCCTTTCACCTTCAAATAGATCATGGACTTGAGTCTTATGATGCGTGTGTCGTTTAATATGAATTTTCTGGAAATATTCCATTGAGTCGTCTTTAGTTCGAAAGAGAAGTTATCTCGGAAACTGGAGATGCGTTCCGACCGAAGAAGCTTAGACAGGGATACTACAAATTAGCGGAGGGAACTTGGTATGGCTCGGCTAATAGAACACGGTTCGAGTACTCTAAGTATTTTACTTTGAATAAGTATTTTACATTCAAGAACAATGGAACAGGAAGATATTCTTCCAATGTGAAGATCCGGACTTCGGAAAAACGGAGAATCGGGAGCTTTGTAAGGTGGAAATAGAGGAGCTAAAAAAGCGACTATGTGTGGATTATCGGCGACTAATGCAATAACTAAGAAAGACACTTACCCATTGCCGAGGATTGACGAAATGATGGACAGTCTTGGTGAATCGAAGTGGTTCTCCTCTATGGATCTGATCTCCAGATACTGGCAAATCGAAATGAAACCTCTAAAGTATCGAAAAAACTGCGTTCATTTCGCGAAAAGGCAATTCAAGATGACGCTATGCAACGCGCCTGCTACCTTCCAGAGAACAATGGATGTTATCCTTGGAAATTACAATTGGAAGATGGTATCCTATGGCGATGAAGTCAGGTGAGGAGATTTTTAAACTAAAATATGTTTGATTAAGTTGTATCATGTGACCAAATGACGTCAGATATTTTTTGTGTGGAAGAGTATTGTAGCCTGCTGCATGTGTTTGTGTAACCTGATATGGTCACGATATAGAAGTCAAGCAACGCCGCGCACGTGACGATTCTTCAGATCGTCACGTAGTATTACAGCTCAGTCAGTTCAATCCATAACTTCACCTTGGAAATTAAAATTCATACAGATAAATTATGACCATGTCAAAATCAAGTCAACCAGCAAAAATCAGAAATTCATAGTTTTAACTATTTATTGAATGTATTCGCAATTTTAGTTTGGTAAATATCACTTAAGACTGACGAAACAGTCTATATCGATATTTGGTAATGCTAGTCTAAATGCGTCTAAATAGATTCAATGCATTTATAGTATTGGACTTTCTGGAATTATAACAATGCTGCCTTATTAAGCATAAATGCACCAGATGATAAAACAATGCTTTAATAGAATAAAAATAAATCATACTTTGCCTCTATTGTTCTTTATTTCTTTGTTGATATTATGGAATTAACTGTTTGAGACCATTTTTTTTGATATTATAATATTATCGTTCGGAGTTGTGCGAGATTTCTATTAGTTATATCGGATATTATATCCAGGGGTGAATTACACAATATAAATTTTCGCCGCGAGATATACATTCTTTTTAATATGATGCTGATCTGTGGGACTACCATTTTTGATACATGCTTTTTCTGCATAGTGGTAGGAGTTAATTATTATTTGAGGTTGTGTAAAAATGGCGAAAAACGATAACAATGATAAAGATAACAATAACAATAACGAAAGCATCAACATTAATTACAACGGATCAGATAAAATTCAAGGATTAACCATAATCGAGAATTTCATCACGGTGAATGAAGAACTCGAATTGTTAAACAATATCGATGCGATGCCGTGGGGCGGACTAGGATTGTTGTAAGTAGAATTTGTGAGAAGGAAATATCGATTATTCATAAAATATAATTTTTCATTTGAAGACCGAATCCAGAAATGAAAAGACGCACACAGCATTACGGATACGTGTTCAGCTATCGATATAGGTAAAAGAAAGGAATCAAATGTTTCAATTAGACAAGAGTTAATAATAATGATACGTAAAAAATCTCAGAAAAATTCTCGAAAATTTAGTCACATTGCCACAATTTCTTGACTTCATTATCACACGATGCATATCCCAAGGAATCATTGATACACCCCCTAATATGTGTATAGTTAACGAGTATAACCCCGGGCAAGGTAAGAAAAAAATTAATTATTGGTTTTTCGAACTCTTTTAAACTCGTGGCATTTTTTCCATTGAACAGGCATAATGCCGCACACAGATCCATCCACTTTTGGTCCTACAATATTGAGTCTCTCATTATCATCACCCTGTATAATGACTTTTTCTCACGTAACCACCGAAAAGAATTCTAAGAATAACGTTGGATCTTCGTCTTGTGTGATTCTACGTGAGTATGCAAAAATAAAAAAGGTAATCGTAAACAACGATTATGATAACTAATTCATTTTTTTTTCAAAAAAGGCCCACGTTCATTATTAATCATGGAAAATGACAGCCGTTACGATTACCGACACTCGATATCAAAAGATCTGATCGAGTTCTTTGGGCATGAGAAAATCGTTAGAGGTCGTAGAGTGAGTTTGACCTTTAGGACGGTAACAGATTATAATAATAATGATAAAGATAATAACATATAGGAGTGAGAGTGGTAATGAAATAAATAAAGGTCAACGAATCATGATTTTCGGCTGTTTATTAAATTTCAAATTACCCACACATAATTAATAGACGTATACAATCAAATGAAAATATATTCAGAAAAGAACAAAATTAAAAAAAAAGTCCGGTATTTCAGTTCGTTAATCGGTATCTGCTTCTTCGTCATCACTAGTCTCTTGGAGGATGATGATATTACATATAAAAAAGGGTAACACATAACAAGAAAGTCGATAATGTGTATAATAGGAAAAAAATGAAAAAACATGTACAAATGGGCACATGCTGATTACAATAATAGATATTTGTTGCGCTCTTTTTATCTAAGTATTAGTAAGTAGTTGCTCTAATCGTATTATTTAACTTAAAAATCAAAAACTCGCACAAACATACAAACAGATAAAAGAGAAAGTTTACTAATCATTATCATCATAAAATTAGTATTGTAATTATTATGGTTATTGTTGGTTTTATTTTTATAGTTTATATTATAATCATCGCCATTATCCATATATTCATCCTCTTCATCCTCATCCCCATCATAATTTAACAGCATCCACTACCGGATTGTGTAGGTACTGTAGTTCCGCCAGTGATGTTGACAGTTTTCTTTGGAGCTCCTGGAGCAACTTGTGTACCCATTCTATAGTTTATAATAATAATAATAATTATTATTATTATTAAAATTTAAGAATGGAACATGAAATTAGAAATTCCTATTAATTACCTGTCTTTAATTTGTTTAGCCATCGTCAAAAATGCTTGTTCAACATTAGTCGCATTCTTGGCAGATGTTTCCAAGAATGGAATACTCAATCCATCAGCAAATTCCTATTGAAGTAAACATATATTATTAAATATAATTCATTGCCAAACATACGAAAATTGATAAATCTAATCAACCTTTGCGTTTGTATAATCCACCACTTTCTTATTCGTCAAATCACTCTTATTCCCCACCAACAATTTATTCACACCTTCACAAGCATAACGATCAATTTCTTGAAGCCATTGTTTAACATTGAGAAACGTGTCTTGATCAGTCACATCGTAAACCACGATTATACCATGTGCACCCCGGTAATAGGATGAAGTGATAGTACGAAATCTTTCTTGACCTGCTGTGTCCCACTAATTAATTTGTTTGTCAAAGGTTATTATTGATTGGCCATTTTATCAATAATTAATCGAAAATTTAATTGTGAAATTATTAAAGAATAAAATACACGTACAATCTGAAGTTTGACAGTCTTCCCTTCAAGATCTATAGTCCGGATTTTCTAAATCAGATAAAGAAATATCGATTAATATAATGTCTTTATATATGAACAAAAAACTCAAAAACTCAACAGAAAGCCCATGTACGTACAAAATCCACCCCAATCGTACTAATATAACTCTCGGTATACGTATCATCAGCGAAACGAAGAAGCAGACAAGATTTTCCTACGCCAGAATCTCCAATCAGAAGTAGTTTGAAAAGGTAATCGCTATAATAATTTATATTTATGATTAATATTATTTAATACTGAAAATAAACTGTTTGCAGGTACTTTCTTTTAAGGAGTGAAATGTAAAGTGGGGCGTGCAGGAAAAGATTACAAGATGATGAAACCCAAAAAAAAGTGTGCTTAACAAAGATAACATAGACAACTATAAATTTGTAACCAAGTCCATGATTCTTGAATGGATTTCAAAAAATCTAACTCTCTTAAAAAAAACCTAATGCGCAACTCTCAAAAAGTCTTGTCCTCATAAATTCAAAAAATTAACAGAATTAGTAGTAAATTACTCACTATTCAGGATTCATTTTGACGATAGAGTGGAAATAATACAATAGTAATAAGTGAAGAGACAACAAAGACTTTCAGGAAGAGACGAAAATTAAATAGGTTTAATTGTTGTATCTGAAAGTGTGTATGGTGCGTGTATTGTGTTACTGGTTGTTGATAAGGCAGAAAGACAGTATATAAACTCGAATCATGCATCAATTAACAGCATGTGGCGATGTATGTATAGCAGATCAGGTTTTTAACATATGTGTGGCTTTGTCGTGATATCATATCTTGGATGGATCAACTATAATCAACCAATTGGCATATAGCAGTTAGCCGAAAATTTTGATCGGCACATAGGAAAAATTCACAAAACACAAGATTATTTTGGATTTGTGGATTACAGAAGCATCTTTTTCAACCATAACATTTCTATGAATGATCATAGAAGTTTTATCTGTGGTTATAAATGTCATGAAAAATAATTTTGGACCCAAAATTGGATGTTAAAGTAAAATTTTGACTTTCTTGATCAGTTAAATTATTTGATTACCAAATTATACATGCACTTTTTTTTATATTATTATCATTTTGATTGACTTTTGAAATACTTAAAGATATTTATAAAATTTAAGAAATATTCAAAAAGAACTTTCAATATCTTAATGGCAATTCAAAGTATTAACAATACTTTATAACTATTAGACTGAATATGAATAAGTACTAAAAGTACTAATGATAGAATTACTTAAAGATTGGTAACAGTTGTGTTCTTTTAAACACAATAATCTGGACTGCTAAAAAGAATTCTCAAAATCTCAATGTCAAAATTATAAAGATTATAATATTTATATTGTCATCATTTTCAGAGTCATTGTCTATGATGATATTTCTGAAATATGGTGAGTAACTGTGTTCAATTAAAAAGTTGAACTATTGAATTATCAAACTTATAATTTAAATATCAAATATTAAAATAATAGGGTTGGACATAACTTTAACAAGAAACTTAATAAAATAAATACAATAACTATCAAAGCTTTCCTGAAGTACTGATCAATGATAGCTATATAAAAATGCAAATACGAATATAATAAAATAAATATAAATACTACCTCTCTTTAGACCAGCAACACAAAAATAAAAATAACATAATGCCTTTCTGGCATTTCTCAAAAATCTTAAAAATAATAATGCAAATAATAAATAATGCAAGTAATAAATACAAATATAATACGAATATAATACGAATAATAAAAATAATAGTTTCTTGTTAAAATGATATAATTAAAAGATCAAAATAATATAAGTCACAACCAATTTTTATTTGATATTAAAGAATATATGAACTAATACTTGATTATTTCATAACTTGATCTGAATGATGATTCTAAGCTAAGATACATACTGCTTATAGATCTATTTTTATCTCAAAAAAAACCAATTAAAATTTAACACATTCTCATATATTACAAGTAACACACAATGTTACTCCAATTTGCCAAGTGTTGCACATTTAAATCTAGTACCAACATATGCTAAAATACTATTGGTACTTCTTTGCTATTACACAAATAAAACTAATTAAACATGAAATAAACTTAATATAGCACAAGGTAATACCAATATAACACAAAGAAAAATTAAATACATGAGAAGAACCAATTAAAATATAGAAATAGAACACATGCTAAATCTTAATAAAATGATCTACATTAAGCATGTATTACGATATAAATCTAATTTATAATAAAGAATCAATTAAAATTTCTTAATAAAAACCAATTAGATTTCTAATAATCATTGTTCTTTGTCAAATGCTATCATTATGTGAGAGAAATATCATTATTATAGATAAATATTGAGCTTCTCATGGTTATAATACTATGCTTATCTAACTGATTTTTTGTATTAATGTATCAATAAATAGCTAAATAATATATAACATGTCATAATAATGACAATATTATTAGTAATATGAGATCAAAGATGAATAATATATTATTAGTAATACAAAATCAAAGATAAGTTTATAAGCAATATATTATTAACAATACAATCTCAAAGACAGATTTATAAATTATAATAATAATTTCTTTATTTAATATAATATTCAATAGATTTCATTATAATTATATTCAGATAATCTAGTATTAAGATAATAATTTTTATAATGTTCCTGACAATTTTGTTTAAGCTACTATAATATTAATTCAAGATTTATATAATACTTATGATAATGATGCTGAAGTGATTATATAAGAAACAAGAATACTTTGTCAAATGAATTATAAAGAAAAGTTTGCACTTGATTACCTACTCTACATAAAGTACAAACTTTGCTCGTTTGAACAATCAAAATTACATGATAACTAGTTATAAGATAATAATTAAGAATATTATTATCGAAGAATTTGTTCTAATCTAATTCTAATAGCTATGATACATGTTGTTTTTATACATATCCAAAATATAATTTATCAGTTATACAAATTCATGTTTGCTAGATCACTTAAATTCTATTAGTTTAATGTTCACTTATTTATTTGCTCATTTATTTACTTGTTTGTTTGTTCGCTTACTTATTTATTTGCTTGTTCCATGTGATTAGATTTTTTCAATAAGATATAGAATATTTATAATCCAATAATATTAAGTATAAATGATCCAGTAAAATATTTGATCAAAGTTTGTTATACAATAATATTCTTTATTATACTTTTTCATAAATATTTAATAAAGTCTTTTGAATATATCTATAACTATTTTTCAGTTGTGAATGATCATAAAAAACTAGTGTTACAGATATGAATGTTGAAAATTAAATTATTTGTTTTTTGTCTTTCTGAAGTAATTTCTCAAATATTATATATAATTTATCCAATTTATTAGAGATTCATTCTTGTTATTTTTTTTAAAAAATTATTTCTACTAATAAGTGTATTTGAAAGGGAAATTAGCAAATTTAATGTTTAATTCTAGGACTTATATTAATATTGACAAATAATTTAAATATAATACTTGTTAGAAATAATATATTTTTTTTAACTTTTCATAAATCATATTGTTGTGATTAGATATTTTTCATAATCACAATAATTATTTTATATGATTGCTTTACATAATTACTTTAAATAATTATTCTGAATAATTATTTCAAATAATTATTTCAACTAATTATCTCAAGTGCTCCAAATGATTATTTCAAATTCTTCAAATAATCATTTTATAATTATCAAATACTTATAAATATAACTTGTATCTTAGCTTAAACAAAAATCAATCAATAATCCTTTAAATAGTATTTTTATAATCTCTCATCTTAATTGTGAAGTTATTCTTGTATTTGTTTTATAATCTTTTATCATTATTGCAAAGTTATATTATCTTATACATTCTTGTATTTGATCTTTTGTTTATATATTGTGAAGTCAATAATAGTATTGAATTAATAAAAGAAAATTATATTTTACTTATTTATAAATCAACTTTAAAAAAATGCTTAACTTATTATAGATTGAATTATAAAGACACAATTATCTTTGAATCTTTTTGATTTCATTTTAGCTAATCAACAAAATAATGTTATAGTATCACCATGTGATAAATTTAACACCTGATATAAAGTATATCATGTTATTTCTATTGGATAGTTAGTAAATATATGTTCTACAAATTGTAACTCTTTTTAATTCATACTAAATCCTTTAGATTTCATACTATTTCATTCTAATTTTGTTATATTTCATACTATTTTATCTTATATCTTTTATATTTCATACTATTATATTTTATATCATTTATATTTCATATTA